ACCAGCAGTGTTTTAGCAGTACATAAAAAGTAATGTCACAAATCAGAAAATGTAATTTTTAACATCAGTGTGAACATGCAAACAAAAAATTAATGACACTAATTTTATATCATAGTAACGTTGCTTTCCACGCACTTTAAGTACTTCATATACTACAGCATAAACTATAGTCTTTGACCTTTTGCAACGTTTTGATTTAAGTAGCCTATTATTAAAATGATTCAGATGTCGCACGCCATTTACATTTGCGATATTTCGATATATCGTGCAGCCCTAACTAGGGGTGTGCGATATATATCGTCTGCGATAATATCGTAATTGTTGTTTTAACGATGTGCGATTTGACATTATCGAGTATTTTGCGAAAACCATTCAATATTAAAAACATTAGGAGTCAGCTGCCTTCGGCAGTCCTTAAGGTACCAGCACAATAACACACTCAGCAAAATATCGTCTAATTATCGTCATCGATAAAATCCCAGAAAATATCGAGATATAATTTTTTGTCAATATCGCACACTAACTGTGATGCCAGATTAGGTAATTTCAGCGCAGCACAAAGGTTAAATGATCAATACAAATCTGTAAAAAACTGATTTTGCTTTCTTCCACACATAATCAGTCCTTTTGTATTCTCCTCAGGCTCAAACGCTTGATTTTACTGCTGTGGACCATCGCTTATTGTGCAAGTGAGTATGTTATTTCTGCAGTGTTTTTAATGTCAGTGTTTTTAAGAAAATGTGTCAGTAATCCATTGTTTACATCCTCAGGTTGTGCTCCTGTACCGCAGACGTGTGTCCAGTGCTCTCTGTCTTGCGATGGAGAACCTGTGCTGGAGAAACATGACCGTGTTATTGTTTCTATAAAACATCCTTTACAAGACATTCCTGACAAAATATACAATGTGTCCAGTTTGTTTGATGTAGGAAGCTGCTTAGTCCCAGGCTGTTTCCAGAGGGACGCACTGTACATCCTGAAAATCTACGCAAATAACGATGATCCGGTGCCTGAAGTACTCGTTGACGAACCCAATTTACGGCCTGGTAAGGACACTAACCATCTAACCCATGCTTAAAGAACTAGTTTACCCACAACTGAATGTTTACTCATCCTCATGCTCTAATGTGTCTTTCCTCTGAGAAACATGAAGGTGATTTGAGTGAACTGTTCTTTAAGTTATCTTAAAGTTGTAATTCTATATACATACTGAGTATGTTAATGATTGGTTCTCTCTCTAATTCTCCACAGACTGTGGTCCAGAGGGCGTATCAGTCAGGAAAGGTAAGTAAACGCATAATTGTGTATTAATTAAAGTTTTCTATCTACATTTAAAACTCAAGATATTTCTGTATATTTCAGATGACAATGACTGTTTACATGCACCCTCATAATGTGAATCAAATGAGATTTAAGCAACATTGCAATTAAACTTTACCTGATGTACACATAATACTTCGATCAAACTGACGTGATTAAACTCATAATCGTAGTCAAATATTTGGTGCATGCTGATGTTGTGCACAATAAACGGGCGTCTGAATACTTTATTCGCATTAGGCGTGCTGAAGAAACTAAATTCTTGTTGACAGCTCTGCGTGACATGAACGTAATGCAGCATATTGTTGGTCAAAAACATTGAAATGGAGACATTTTTAGGCCGGATACTAGTGCTGGGTGGTATGACCAAAAATTCATATCACGGTATTTTTCAAAATTATACCGGTTTCACGGTACATGACGGTATTTTTTTTTCATGCATGACCGGGTGTTAACCATATTTTCTACTGATTTAGAGGAAATACTGCAGTATATTGACTGAGAATGCCCTATTTTACTGTCATGATGAGTGAATATTGTCAAAAAAATACCACACTAAATAGTGACTAAACACGACCCCTTTGAATACATGTTAAGCAGGAGTCACTCTCATTTATAATCGCGGCATCGTCTGATAAAATCAACATGCATCTACACTAAAGAGCGGCTATGCGGTTGTTTTGGCTATATTAAAGTTGCTTTTTCGTCTCATGCAGCGCACTGCCTGCGTCTGAGTAACAAACTAAAAAAAAACAACAAACAAAAAAGTGCATGTGATATTAACAGACGAACTACGCTCATATTTATAATTCCAAACAATCAGTAAGCGACAGGTGCTAGGAAACGCTGTTTTGTACTCATTTATTGAGGAGTCGGCTGCGGTGCTTCGCTCCTCTGCTGCTCACTGCACAGAACAGATGCCGAGAGAGGTGACACTTCTCCGGGAAAGTCAGACCTCACGTTCGCGGGACAGCACTGGCGAAATCTTACAACT